TTCCAAGCTAACAGGATGTAACTACCTGCCTGCAGCTCACTGATTTTTCTGAAAGCCAAGTTTGCTTTCAATATGCCTTGATAACAGCATTAATTTCTGAAGTCAAAATAGGTGAGACCCAAGATGATATCCTCTCTTTCTCTCCAGCTTGGCAACCCAACTGCTGACAGTGAAAACATAGTGTTAATAGGGATAATAACAATGGGTAAGGAGTTGGAGGGGGAACCTGAAGTTGTGTCATGACTTCATTTTAAGAAGTGCAGACATAAGGGAAAGAACACAATTCATCTGCTTGAAAAGCAGTAGTTTACAGACAACATTTGCGTGAATAGTTCCAACAGGAGCATGCGAGGTAGACTAGAGATTTTACTACATGACACTAACATAATGAAGCTAGAAACTTTAAGTTAGGCAGTGAGAGATCTCCTGCAGCAGCTCTATTTTGCCAGGGCAGTCTGTTATGTAGCTTGAAACAAAAGCCTACCTTATGCTTTTCTAGATGTACTTTTCTATACTTACCTGCTTTTATCACTGTTTTTTGTAATGTCTTCCATTTTAGCAGACCAGCTGTGGCTTGTACAGGTTCCTGTTAGAAGTGATATGATTGCTCTGACTAGATTAATTTTTGGTTAATGAAGGGGACATGAGATCAGCTACCAACTGTGACATTCTCATAGCTGTCAAGGGATAAAAATAGAGTAGTGTGCAACATGTGTAATATGTAAACATGGAAAAATACAGTGCCTGTGTATATGGCAAAGGTGGGCTGGTTTCATTGGCTGCTCTTGTCCAAGGTTATCCTATGTTATAAGCTGATGTAGATGGTTATTGAACAGATTGGGGCCATTCAGCAACACCTAGCAACATCTAGCATCTGTTCACCTAGCAATGTCAGAACAAGGGGCAGTTGCCTCTAAAAGCCACTTACATATTAATCCACTCAACTGTTTTCTGCTTGTACATCTGGGGATGAAGCAGGATCAGACTTTAGCCATGACCTCACATAATCCTGCTTCTGTAGCGACACCCTTGCATAATGCAGAAGAATATTTGTGGCATAAGGGTCATATGTCACAGCAGCACAGGGAGTCACAAGTGCTGTGACTGTGTCAAGGAGTTTTTAAACAAGTGTGACTGGCTCCAAGCCTTACATATGTCTGTCACATGGCCTTCTAAAGGAGATTTGGGAAACCCTAGGCAAGACTGTTCCCAGATGTAAGGTCACCGTCACAAAACAATGACGTCCCTGTGAGGTGCTCCAAAAGACAATCATCACATTTGACCATTAGATTATTAGAGTGGATGTTGTAACAACATAGTGTTGAGTTTTAAAGGAAATTATTTTCACATCTGAGCCAAGAAAAATTTTCCAGTAACAGCAGGAAGATTCAACTTGGATGCCTACAGACTAATGCAAGTTAATAATGGCTAGGCAGAGGGCCAGTGGAAATAGATGGTATTTGTTTTAAAAAATATATTCCCTTTCCCCTTACACTTTGTCTGCTGTTTGTCTTCCTGGACTGCAAGCACTTAATAGCAAAGCTGTGCTTTTTGCTTTGGATCACTCATATTGCTCACTTAATCAATGGCTGGTAATGATAAATAGTAATAATATAAAACATTAACACTTTTTTACCCATATCTGCATCTGTCCTTCAGTGAAGTACTGCACTTGTTACTGCTGCATCTGACCATACCTTCATGTTGCAATCACTTTAATGTCATCAATACACCTGGGATGTGAAAGCTGTTAGGAAATCTTTGGTGTCAGTGCTGGAGGCAAGAGGCAGAAACCAAGAAAGCCAAGAGATACACCAAACTAAAGCGTGTGGTGTAAAAAGGGCAAAGAATGTGAAGCGTCAAGAAACCCATGTAGCCAAAGGTGAATACTGGCCCAAGGAACAGGCAGAGACAGAGCAAAACCTGGCAAGCTAGATAAGAGTGAGATCCTACAACACACAGGGTTGGAACTAGATGATCTTTAAGCTCCCATCCAACCCAAACCATTCTATGAATCTATGATTCTATGATTCCCTTATCACTGATAGGTCTAACAAGCCAACTCTTAAATCTCATTTGGCCAAATGGTTGACTGCAGCTCAGTCGTCTTGATGGATACAGCAATATCTATTACACTCTGTCAAGAACCTGGGGCCAAGATGACATTCTGCACCGAGAAAAGTAATGAGATACACACCTCTTACATGTTCCTACATACTTATGATGCAGCCAGACGCTAATATATGTGAAAACAGGCAGTGTCTTGCAAGTCTTTGCACCTCACTGTAACAATAAAAACTAATCAGTCATTGTCATTTTCCTGCATTTTTCCTTCTGAGTCTTCAGATGAATGTTACACCAAAACAATCTGGTTTCATTAGCTTTGAACAAGCTGCTGTAGTCACTTCCCTAGAAACAGCAAATATACACAAAATCACATTTTCTATGAGTATTGTAATAAAGATTTAAGCAGGAATGGTTGTACAAAATTCTAGCACCCGTATCATTCACAAGACCTGATTAACACAATGAATCCCCAAATTTGTAAAGCAATATTTTTCCTCTCACTATTCTTCACTTTCTCATTTTTAAGATCATTCAATTTCATTAGTAATCCTTCACTGTGTTGTCAGTCTGCATTATGGTGGGGTTTTGGAAAGCCTTCAGTAAAAGAATACTTGACTGTGCTACAACCCTCACCCTTTGTACCTCTGTTCAGATCCCAACAGAATGAAATTCTACATGCCTACATGATGCAGGAAACGAATTCTTAACGAATCTTAGGATACAAGTCTAAACAGACGGCAGTACTTCCAATCTGCTACAGAAACAATATGTTTTAATTAAGTATAAGATTTAATAAAATTTTCACTCCTTGTACAAAAATGGTGATTAACAGATGGTTGACAAACCAACTCTAATAATTTCTGATTAAATGCTTTTGTTTAGTGTCTTCAGTCACTCTCTACAGGGAATTAATTACTGGAAATTGAAAAAAATGAAGTTTCATGCCAGTTAATATCCTTGAGAAACTGGAAGGTAATCAACTGTATAGATTACAGTGGCATATGCAGGGCAGCTTGTGGTCAAAATTTGTACAACATACCCCAGACAGTTTTGAAGTTGGTTAGACTAAAAAATGTGTGTATGGAGAATCTGTTTTAAGTAAGTTTTAAGTAAGCAGTGAGCAGCTGTATGCAGAACAAGATTCCATTATGACTTTTCTTCAGTTTATGATTTTTAAATGACATTTATTTATTTACAGTGGCCACTACTATTGTAGGTTCAAAGCACATGTTTACATGATCCTTTCATGATTTAAATTGCTCTTTAAATAAGCAAACCAGCTTCTAAGGGCAAATCTGCATGGAAATATGCATGAGGAGAAGCATCCACCAGTGATTTAATGTGAAGAATGTAAGTAGACAGGCAGGGAGTGCAGTCACGCTGCTCCGAGATGCTGCTTGATGCAGTTGGCACTCAGCTCCCCACCCAGAGGCAGGTTTCACCTAACTTGCTGAGGCCATTCTAGCTAAATTGGTATAACAAGCACTCCCGTAAATATCCCCAAACAGGCTTCATATAAAACTAATTGAAAAGGAGAAGAAAAATCACTTTTTATTGTGCATTGTCCTCGCAGAGATGCTACTTTTAAAATTTGCCTGGTAAACTTTATTTGGCAATAATCTTCAGTAGGCAATGCTTTAGCTGAAGTCTGTGACTCTGGGCAATGTGCTCCTCTGAACTGATTGCCAATTAACCTGAGTTAGTTAACAGCTTTGTAAATGTTAATCTAGATATTTCATGAACAATTGAACACAAACGTTTGTGGTTGTCTCCAGGTCTAAGCCAATTGGCAATCAATTAACTTGAATTTTAGCAGCTTAGTTGCAGTACTCTAGAATAAACACGTCCTCTGTGCAACAAGGCAGCTGATTTTTCCCTGCAGAAAACCAGTACCAAGCCATGTGATGTCTTGTCACTATGCTGTTGGAATCGCCTTCTGTTCCAGTTTGTCTTCAGTGCCACATTAACTTTGTATTGGCCATTTGCCAGAGCTGAAAGAGAACATGTGCACTTCTGATAAACTTGTGTTTTTCCAGGGTTCCTTAAGACTTTCTAATACTGCCTTGATCATCACCACTTAGGGCATTTAGTTGTCAGTGAGCTTCAGCTGAACTAACTTTTTAATTGCAGAAGACATATTACAGTAGTCTGAAATATTAGTAAATTGTATAGTCACATATATGAACTTGTGTCATTCAAAATTTCCATTATACAAATTCAAAGTTTTCCAGTGTAACCAAAAGAAAAAAAAAATAAAATATCAATAAGTAAGAACAAATAATTTCAGGTATTTTGGGGTCACTGGCTACAGCTAAAGGCAAGAAAATATAATTAAATGATGAATTCTCCATGATGGAGCTTCATTGGGGTATAAATTTCTGTTTCACTTTTAAACTCTCCTCCAGTAGGTTTCATTGGGAGCTGGAACAACAAAGGCCTAAGAAATGTGAATTATTACAAAGTGCAGAGACTTCTTTCCTACAGTCCTCTTTTAATTTCGTATTTTATATTATACAACATATAATAATTATATAATAAACTTAAGTATAATAAACATTTTTATTCTTTTTTAGAGCTCTAGAAAATAAAATTAATTTTCTTAACTTAGCTAATTGCTCAGTGCTGTCAACTGTATTGCTTTAGAATTGAGAAAGCTTTTCTGTAAGGTGGCAGAAAGATGTGAGCAAAGGGTTGCTATCATATGTACATTTGCAATCAGCCAAGGAAGTTTCTAAAGCACTGTGGAAACTATGTGGGTGAAAAAGAACATTGACACCAGTGCAGTTTTTGCCATTGTGGGTGTCAGTTTTTTTAATAATTTTTAATTAATAAAAACATAACTAAGTAAAGAATATGAAAACATGTATTAATATCTGTTCTGCAAGCACGACTCACACGTATCGTCACCTGTATCAGTACCATCACCTCATCACCTGTATCAGCACCAGCTTGTCACAGGACTCAGATGGCCCTCTTGGTTTGTGACATAAAAAGTCTATTCATCAGGGGAAAAGAGAGGTCTCAATTATCATCAACATTGCAAGCAACACTTTCTCACACTAACAGGCAGTTACATGGGAAAAAAAGACTTCTAGTGTGTAACTGCTCTTCGTGGTATTAACAAAAATACCACCCACATCTCAGGCTTTGAGATAATTTTTATGTTCTACTTTTCTTTCTGGTTACCTTGCCCTTGCTTTCCAAGTATCTCCTTTGTTGTCTTTCACAGCGACACAGCTCTGACTCTGGAAAGGCAGAATGGCTCCCTTTCTCTTCTCTTCTCTCTACCACTTTTCAGCATTACAGTAGAGTTTAATTATTATATGTTGTATAATATAAAGTACAAAATTAAAAGAGGACTGTAGGAAAGAAGTCTCTGCACTTTGTAATAATTCACATTTCTTAGGGTTTTCAGTACAACTTGAGGCCTCATTAATTTTCTCTCCAGGGAAGCCCTTCTTTTGTCACAACTTGAGGGATAATCCTATAGCCATCACACAAACATTCCCCTTGAAATGACTGGAATCTCTGGACAGGAACTGCAGAATTGAGTCCTATACCACCAAGAGATCTTTGGCTAGGAGTTGTCAGGGAAGCTATTAGAGCTACTTGAGTGTATCACCACAACAAGGACTAGACTGAGTAAAGAGGTAACATCAAAATGCACTCAAAATTCATGGTTTACTAGGACTGACAAAGATTTCCAAGATCAATTGCTGATGTTTTTCTTTAAATATATCAGAATGCTATATATTAAATTATAAGCATAGGTACAGATATCTTAGAGATAACAGTGGAGCTCATGCCTGCTGAACAGACGACAAAGAAATTGTAAAAGAAAGATCTTCAGCTAAAACAAATGTAGTTATGAGCTTTCAACTCATTTGTGTTAATTTTTCTCACTGCAACTTTTTTAATGTATACATAGCTGTAAAGTGTCATTATTTATTAGCTATTCTGAAATGTTTCACGTATTTTCTCATTTGCAAATGTACCTGTGAAGCCGGTTAAAAAGTAGGGCACACTGTTGGGATGTGTAAAAATGTTTGTGAATTAAGTTCTGATCTTTGTGAGATTCCAAGTGATCTTAGTTCTTACACTTCATCAGGAGCTGAGGTACTGTGAACCTTTCAAGCAAGTGCCCAGAATCCTATTTCAAAAAAACCCACCTGAAATATTTCACATACAAGGTTGAATATAGCAGGATTTGTCAACATTCCTTGGAGATTCTTTGTTGCAGAAGTCATAAGGTCGAAACTAGGGGTCTGTTTGATGGTATTAGAGAAAATGAAGGTTATCACACATACCCTTTCTTTTGCAGTAACATTTCCCTTGCCCCCAACCCCAGTCCCAAGCAAGCGGTTGTGCATATCACTTATGCTGGGTGGTTATCAGGGGGATCAGTTTATTGATCTGAATATCAGTGCACCAGCAAAAGGAAGGGATAGTGTGAGGGAGGACAAGTTTAGTGATGCTGGCTGTGAGCAAAGGTCAGTAGCCCCATAGCCTCACCATCATGACAAAGTCTGTCACTACTTCTATTAATTAGGCCAAATTTGCATTAAAAAGTGTCTTGCCAGTAGCAAAAGGGATACTATCAATAAATTTTATACTGGTTCAACAAGCAGAATGAATGCTGTGGATGCAAATCTCTTTTTGTTAACTTGTGACCATTGGGCTGATGAAATCCACAGAATTTTAAATCAGCTGTAGTTTCGAGATGATTTATGAAAAATGCTTGTTTCTAAAAATGATGATTTGATATACTCCACAGTTAGTTTACTCTGGTGCTCAGCTATCCTTACAGATATAAATCTCTTCCTTACCGCAACTTAACCTACATTCCTGTAGATTAAATTTGTTATCTATTTACCTATCCTTGAACAATACGCAAGTTACCTCTGGAAAGATGAGATTCTTTATGGTTTTCTATGCTGACATAAATCTGTAGATTGCAAGACTTTAGCTATTACAGGGAAAAAACCCTTGCATGGAATCTGAACACAGGAGCATTTTCCCCTGATTAATGGATTCCCATAGGATGATCTTGAAAGAGAGTGGTCCCTTTCATGACACTATAAGGTTTGGAAACCTGGCAAAAATACCACCCCCCCCCCCGGGGGATCCCCACTCCCACCTTTTATAGCATATGCTTGTTAACGTATTTCTGTATTTTAGCTGGAATAAACTGATACTTCATGCTTATGTTTTCTTGTCCTAAACCAAGGGAAGTAGAAAAGTGGAGACACAAACTTCAACCCTGAAACCAGCCCATTTTTTTGTTGCAAGCAGAACTTTTTTTATTTCAACAAAACAGCAGTTTTTTTTTTTTTCTGTAGACCATGCATACAAAAAGCTATTCTAATTAGCCATTACACAGACTATGAAATTACACAGAACTATGAAATTTATTTTTTTCATAATTCTACAAAGAATGGAGCAAAATACCCTTTGGTTTTCAGTATAATTTTCTGCAATCTTTCATTATTCCTGATTGGAGAGTCAAAGTGACTGCTGAGTCATTAATACTAAATAAAGAAGCATATTCATCCACAAGATGCTTTGCTGCCTATGACTTAACTGTAACTTCAAGGTTTTACAGAGATTTACCTGAGAAAGGGTGCAAGTTAAGTCTGCATCTCACTAATTCTCTACTAGTGGACTAGTATAAGCAGCATTTTTGGCATAATGTAGTCAATTAGCAGAGTAATAAGTCTCTGGTTTATCAGCTGCCTGAAGGAAACCCTTAGGCAAAAACATATTACGTTTTAAAATCACAGATAACTGAAACTAAGCAATTGCAAATTTACAAGCAGAGAACACTTCAGCATAATATCAGGAAAACTATGTATTGCAACAAAATTAAAATGCCGTGATCTTGACTTCTGCTACCAACAGTAGCATCGCTGCTGTTAGTAGTAAAAATCCACTAATTATAAGCTGACAGGGCCACAGTGTTCTGCTCTATTGTCTGCTTACACCACTGAGAATTATTGCACATCTGTATGCCAGAAGACAAGTGCTTCTCATTGTGACTGAAATAAGTGCAAGAATGAGGTCTAATGGTCGTAAATGCTTATGCCAAGAGTCATATAAGTGACTGGAGGCTCACTAGGCATGTCACCCCTGTAACTTCAGCTGCAGAGTTGGCAACCTTTTGATTTCATATTCCCCTCTCCCATTCTCATTGAAAAGCTGTTTTCATACCTGTAGTGTCTTTTTATCTTTGTTTTTTTTTTTTCTTGTTTTGTTTTGTTTTGTTTCCTTTTGTAATTGCAGCTTTTCAAACACTGTGGAATATCTAAGTATTAGCCATATTCTTCCATATCTAAAAATGGCAGTCAGCACTGTTTTAAAATATCTCTTCCCAATTTGTGCATCATTATTTTGGGAACATATACTTTAATTTCACCAACAGAGGTCACTAAACCACTGAAAGAACCATAAGAGTTTGGCGAGAACACACCCTCATCAATCTTTCTAACATCCCTCTGACAGTTTTGTTAAAAGGGCCTCAGTAAATATAAGCTTAGTTAACTAAAATTAAATAAAAAAAGAAAAAAGAAAGAAGCGAGTGTGTGCTTATGCACACAGAAGAGTGAGTTTTATTAAGGATATGAATTACACAAAATACTACATTGTTAAAGATCTGTCAGCATTAGAATGTATTTCATATACCTGTTATGAAGCCAGTAACATACATATGTGCATAGGTATGATCACTGCTAAATCAATTTGTCAAGGTTAAAACAGGCTGTGACTTACATAGTAATATTCTGAATGATCTGCTGAATTCTACTTTTCAAGCTCTGTGCTGTTGAAAACCAACCTAGTGTGGGGGGAGTATGAAGAGGAGGATCCCAGAGAAGTAACATTTAACGATATTAAAATACCAGATAGAAGCGCAGGAGAAACAAAGAGCTGTCACTTGCTCATTTTGGCAGTAACACTCAGCTAATGGAACTATATTAACACATCATTTTCCGACTTTCAGCTGTAATGAAAAGCTATTTTTACAAATCATTACTTTCGATATATGGTGTTTCAGCCACGTGGCTTCTATTAGTGTACAGGGGAGTTTCACAACTAAAGCTGCCTGCACAGTACTGAAAGTGCACCTTTTATGTTGAACTAATCCCAGAGGGGAGTCAGCACTCGAGCCAGTGTCCTTTTGACCTTTATCCTTTTAATGCATTTTGCCTCAGTAGCAGAAGGTGAAAACCTAGTTTTTACGTTTCAAAACAGACTGCTTCAACAGTAATTCTCTACGAAGCTAAGGCAAGTAACACAGACTCCTGTGGAAACGTTGAAAGTCCCCAGTTCAGCCACCAACAATAGCTTTACAAATGTATTTTTAGAACTGCTTTTCTGGTAGCCCTTTGAAGCTCACCCGAACAGCCTCGCTGCCACCCCTTCTCAACAGCTGCAAGCATGTGAAGCCACTGGAGTGGAAGATGTTAATTATCATCAGCTACTGGAATTTCTCCAGGGACCACTTGTGGTTAGAAACATTCTTCCCTGAAGAACTGCAGTAGGCACTGGGATCATCTCTCCTGTAGCTTTACCCAAGTCCCTCCTCTAAAGCAAAAGAAACCTCTAATTCCAAAGCAAAATTCCCAATCTTCACTTCTAAGTGTTCTTCCACTCAGGTAGGATTCAGTGATTTTCTTAAGCAAATTTAGGATTAAATTAAATTACACTTAAGTATAAAATCTTTAATTTCTGTGAACAGAGGTCCAAAAAGAGGGATTTTCATGGATATGCTTCACAGGGATTAGGTTTAATGTATGTACAGATTTTTATTAAAAATTGGAGAAATAAGTCCAAAATGAAAAACAAAACCAGAAAACAGCCACAATGATGGATGCAACTATAGCTGGGTTTTTTTTGAGTAATTTGAACTTTGTCTATATGGCCAAGAAAAAGCTACTCACCTTCTCCCCATGTCATCAGGAAACTTCAAGCACAAAAAATGGTCTTTTCCCTTCTGCTTTACCTCCTGCTAATTCAGTGGCATTTTGAGTCTAAACTAGTTAGCATCAGGAGCTTGATGCGATGTCAGCAAGTAAGATACTCCCCACAGGGATCCAAAATAATAGATGAGCTGGCAAAGATCCCCAGAAAGGGAAATAACATAAACCCAACAGATTCTAAGCCTAACCCTTTGCTGTGACTACTACAAAGCACCTTTAATGACTGAACACAACCATAAATGTACTCTGTAGATCCCTCTGTTGTAGTTAAACTCAGTAATAGCTACCATGCCCACAAAAGGACTGAGCCAGGTCAGTCTCTAGCTGCAAAGAATGTAGGATGAACTCAGTAGTCTACAAGACTTGATTTCCAGCATACTAAGATGGATATTTCTCTTGCCTTTTGCTATGGATGAGAATGGCATGTGTTCCCCAGAACTTTATGAAGTGACACAGCAGCCTTTTTAATAAGCTATGGGAGCTAAAGAAAAACAGTTACCCTGCTCTCCAAGAATGCTGTCCCTTTCCTGTAAAGGCACAGGAAATCCCTGTGCACCCCCCAGGAAGAAAGGGTAAGCAGGAAGAAGGAAACTGAATGTAATGGAAAGTAAACATGTCAACTGTTAAAAGAGTTACCAGCAGTGACTACAAAAAAAGAAATCCTTGTTATACTTAAGGGCAGCAAGTACAGTGACACTTCAGCTATTCAGTGTTTACAGAGTTACCCCCTCTCCTCCCATTACTGCCTAATTCCCTTCTATGCAGGCCACTGGTGCTGTTGTATTATGCACCATCTCCAAATCAACACCAAATACAGCAATGGAGTAGATACAGTCAAGATGAGGGATTGTTTAATTCTCCAAAATGGTCAGTGCTTAATGGCATAGACCTATTAACTGCATGCCTTAACATCTTAACAGTTAAGAGAATACATGTTCCCCATACGGTATCAAGAATAGCATTGAAGATAAAAGTGAGCACACAAACACAGAACTGTTATATACAAAAAAAGTTTAATTGAAATACCTGTATAAAAAATATGATCTCCATACATTTCACACTGTTAAACAGAAGAAAAAAAAAAAAATCCAAATCCAAGCTGCATAAATGCAACTAGATCACAGAAACACAGCTATTAAAATAAATTAAGGTTTATGACTCTGCCACTCTTACCTTCCAGAGCTAATGCACGGAGACTGTACAATGTCAATAATTTAAAACCCTTCCAAACAGCATTACTTTACATTTCTGGTACAGTAATACCAGACAAAAGGCATACCGACTAACTTTAAAAACTCTTTCTATTTCCCTTAAATTAGACTTTGTACAACACTTTTCCATCTTTCAACAAAAACTGGTAAGGTCAGAATTTTTTTTTGTCTTTTTTTCTTTTTTTTAAACAAAAGTTGACAGGAATGCAGAAAAAAAAGTGCCATGGGCAAACCACTAGGATTCCCATGGGGAGAAGGAGGGGAAAAGCACAGTGTTGAGTAACTATAACCAAATAAATTAACCAAATAAATAGCCACAGCTGAAACCTGTGGGAAGTCTTCTAAATTCCAAACAATAAATAACTGTATAATACATGGGAAAAAACAAGTTTACATAAACACATTATACAGGTATGGAAAAAAAAAAAAAGTCCTTGAATATTGCATTGATTGTGCATTCAACATGCCCATACATACTTTTAAGACTCGCAGGGTGACAAAAGGCCAGGGGGAGTTGAAAAAGGGGCTTCTCATGCCCAATGGTAGAGAGATGCTAAAAGGAACATGAATAAATGTTTCTGATAAAAAAGCTGATATACCTGTTCATATTTCTGTGCAGGCTATGGGAAATATTTTGAGCAGCAGAGGTGGGTTGGATTTGGAAAAGGACTGGGGGAGGGGGGGCAGGAGTGAAATGTCTGTGTTCAAGTATTCCATCACCAGTGGATGGGACTACTTCATTCAATCACCGAACATGTTCTCCAATGCATCATAGGAGCTGCTTCCTCCAGCACAGAGTCTAAAGGGAGCAAATTCCTATAATGAACTGGATCTTCTTTGGACATACACAGCTCAAAAAAGAAAGTCCCACTGAAGCAGCTTTCAAAAAGGCACTCAAAAGCAAATAAAATCTAGTCCAGGCTCTATGAGAGCAAAAAAGTTTACCATGTATTCAAGAGGTCACTGCTTTCTTAATAAGGTCAGTCTTTGACTAAGTACTGGCCTGCATCTCGCAAACATCAGCGTTTCCAAAGGAAATCTCATTCCAAAGCAGAAACCAGCAAAGGGGGAAAATAAAATCAAGTCCCTCAGACAAAGATTCAACTACAGAATAATGAATGTATTTTTCTAGCCCCTCCTACGTATTGGCAGCAGCACTGTGGTCTTTCTGCTTGTAGCTCCCCTCCCAGTGCGAGGTCCTTAGTAATTCACAGACTCTCGTTACTTGAACTTGTGCTAGATACATCAGTATCAAGGGTCCGTAGCCTAATGTCACAGTCCTCGGACTTCACGACTTCAGATTTATGCATCCATTGATGGTCAAAAATTTGCTCAAGTGTTGGTCTGTCTGAAGGCCTCAGTGAAAGGCACCATTTGATCAGCTGTTGACATTCTGTGACAAAAAAAAAAAAAAAAAAGAAAAGGTGCTTTTAGACTAGGAAAGCAAAAGAATCCTAAATAAAGAGATGCACCCATGCAAGGTCAAAGGTCTTCTATTAGAAGAAAACCCGTTGCTTTTATAGTGGTCAACTCACCAGGTGAAATTCTTCTCCTGAAGTATAATCGTCCCCTCAAGATTTCTTCATCTTGCTCAAAAGGGATGTCTCCGCAAACCATATCATACAGCAAAACTCCCAGAGACCATACTGTTGCTGACCTCCCATGGTATCTGTGGTATCTGATCCACTCTGGAGGGCTGTATACTCTCGTTCCTAAAAGGAGGAAAGAGACAAAAATTTGAGGTTTAGAGCATTTCCCCATTGTTCAGCTCATTCTAGCAGGGATAAAATCAAATTCATAAGCTTGCCATGCAGTACTTAAACAAAAAAAAACCAAAAAACAAAAAACAAACAACTTCTTATTTCTCATGTGCCAAAGCCATTAGCGGTGTAACGTCAGGTCACCCGCGGGGTTACACCACCACCAGACTTGGCTCATCCGGTCGTGCTATCCGCTGCAGGGCCCAGCGCAGCCCATCAGCTGACTGTTTACCGAGGCAGCTCCTTTCACTGACCACGTGGCGTCTGCAGCATCGCACCAAAAATAGACACAAAAGGACAAAGGGGGCTGGCGGGCGGGGAGGGGAGGTGAAACCCCGCTCTGCCCGTGTGACACCAGGCTAATCCGCTTTATCCAATTCCGCAAGCCAGTAAACAAAATAGGGCCGCTTACCATTTCTACGTTTGTAAGCTTCCCCCCCCACTGCTGCCCTGCTTGGCCGGCTCTGCCCCGGTCCCCGCCGCTCCCCGGGTACCAAACGGAACCGGGTGATGTGCAGCGGGGCTTCGGGTTTCACAACAAACAGATGCGAGTGCGGCAGCTGGGGAGGAGGAAGGTGTGAGGGAAAAAGTTCTCCGTTACACCAGGGCTGGGGGAAACGCTCCCTCTATCACACACTGGCTTATTTCCAGCCTTTCCCCATCCAAAGCACCAAGGCGGGCCCCAACGCTCATATCCCAGCTTTTCAAGGGAGCGTATGTATCCCCATCGCTTTAAAATCTGCAATGCGGGATTTCCAGGACACTGGAAAAAAAAAAAAAAAGGGGGGGGGGGGAGGGAAAGCTACCGCTTTAAGTTAAAAAAAAAAAAAAAAAAAGGACGCGTATAAAAACTGCGTATCCACACATGGAAACATCTGACACTGTCGGAGCCTCCGTGTAAACAGATCGCCCTCTAGGAAAAAAAAAAATCGCATTTTCCAAGACAGGGAAACATAAACTGCTGCGTCACTGCCTGGAATCGCTTCTTCCCTACGCAACTGAACACCCCCTAAGCTGCTTCGGGTCCAAAGGTTTCCATTACCGATAGACCCGATATGAACCCCTGTGTCAGCCGCAAGGCTCGCTACCAGGGGGTGTCAGGATCACAAGAAACGGCGGCTGTGGGGAGGGCATCACCCGGGGTGGTTGGGCGGGCGACGAGGGGCTGCCCCAACCCGGGCTTTCCTGAGCGCCAGGGTGGGTGGGCACGTACCATCAAAGTCGGTATAGACTGTGTCCTTGAGAAGGGCCCCCGAGCCGAAGTCGATCAGCTTCAGCTCGCCTGTCCTGAGGTCAACCAGGAGATTCTCGTCCTTTATATCCCGGTGCACCACACCGCAGCCGTAGCAGTGGCGCACGGCCTCCAGCACCTGCCGGAAGAACCCGCGGGCCGTCTCCTCGTCCAGAGCGCCCTTCTCTGTGATGAAGTCGAACAGGTCCTTCACCAGCTCGGGCCGCTCCATGATGATCAGGTAGCCGTCGGGCCGCTCGTACCAGTCCAGCAGCTTGATGACCCCTCGGAAGCCGGAGCCCACCTTCTTCAGCAGAACGATCTCCAGGGGCACCATGACCCCGCTCTGGGCAGAGAAGGGGGCGCGGGTCAGCGGCGCGGGGCGGGCGTAGGGGCGGGGGGAGGGCGCGGCCCCCGGGCCCCCTCCGCCGCTGCCGCAGTCCGAGGGGCGGGCGCGGCGCTGCGGCGGCAAACCCCCGCCAAATTCCCTCCCGACGCAGAGGCCGCGCCAACGGGGCGGGCCCCGCCGCCCACACAATAGCCCCGCCGCGCCGGAGCCCCGCATCGCGCCCGCAGCCCCTTCCCCATCGCGGTACTTACAATGGTGCCCCACTCGGTCACCCTCTCCTTCACCACA